ATTTTTTTTTTTGAGTGGAGTCTCACTCTGTTGCCCAGACTGGAGTGCAGTGGCCACTCCTGGCCACCGCAGCCTTGATCTGCTGGGCTCCGGTGATCCTTCCGCCTCAGCCTTCCGAGTAGCCGGAATTATAGGCGCGCTACCACGCCCAGCTGATTTTTGATTTACTGTAGACATGAGGTCTCGCCAAGTTGCCCAGGCGGGTCTCGAACCCGCGGGCTCAGGCAATCCACTCACCTCAGTTCAGTCCATTTTTTAAAGTTCCCTGGTTAATTCTGGTGTGTACCAGGTTTGGAAAACAGAGATCCAGAACCTAAGTTTTAGATATCTAAGATTGTCCTTCAAATCTAAAGTATTATGGTCCTCTAAGAATGCAGAACAAAAAGTTCCTAATTTTATAAGGACTAATACATAGAATACATAAGGAATTGTCGCAAAGTAATAAAAAAGATAGAAAAACAGAATTGCCAATTAATATGGGAAATGCTCAATCTCTTTAGCCATTACAAAAATGTAAACTGAAATTACCATCAAACTGACAACAGTTAGGCGGTCTAACAACATTCAGTATAGAAAACAGTTCTCTCAAACACTGCTGTTAGTAGTACAATTGATACAGCCCATTGAAAGGGCAATATGTTGCTATGTATTAAAATTCAGTGATTGAAATAGTCTAGCAGGGCGCAATGGCTTATACCTGTAATCCCAGCACTTTGGGAGGCAGAGGTGAAGAAGGACTGTCTGAGCCCAATGGTTCAAGACCAGCCTGGGCAACTTGGTAAGACTTTGTCTCTACAATAAGTTAAAAAAAAAAAAAGCCAGGCTCAGTGGCTCAGCCTGTAATCCCGTACCTTTGGGAGACTGAGGTGAGTGGATTGCCTGAGCCCGCGGGTTTGAGACCCACCTGGGCAACTTGGCGAGACCTCATCTCCACAATAAACCAAAATCAGCCAGACGTGGTAGCGTGCACCTTTAGTTCCAGCTACTCGGAAGGCTGAGGCAGAAGGATCGCCAGAGCCCAGCAGGTCGAAGCTGCGGTGGCCGGGAGTGGACACTGCACTCTAGTGTGGGTGACAGAGTGAGACTCCAACTCAAAAAAAAGGCTGGGTACAGTGACTCATGCCTATAATCCCAGCACTTTGGGAGGCCAAAGTGAGAGGACTGCCAGACTCCACGGGTTCGAGACCAGCCTGGGCAACTTGGCGAGACCTCATCTCTACAATAAATCAAAAAATAAGCCGCACATGGTGGTGAGTGCCTGTAGTTCCAGTTACTTAGAAGCCTAAGGTGGAAGGATTACCTGAGCCAGCAGCACCAGGTTGTGGTGGCCATGAGCATGCCACTGCACTCCAGCCTGGGTGATAAAGTGAGATTCCAACTCAAAACAAACAAACAAACATGCAAACAAAAAACTAGCCAGGCATGGTGATACATGCCTATAGTTCCAGCTACATGGAAGGCTAAGGTGGAAGGATCACCAGAGCCCAGCAAGTTAAGGCTGTGGTGACTATGAGCAAGCCACTGCACTCCAGCCTGGCCAACAGAGTGTGACAATAAAACACTCACACACACACACACACACAATGATCTTTATCTTGATTGTTGTGTATATATTTGTCAAATCCCATCAACTGTAAACTTACACTGGTACATTTTATTGTATATAAATTACACCTCAATAAAGTTGACTTCAAAATATTTAAAAAGCAAATAACCTTCAGTCAGTAATTCTACTTCTAGGTAGTGATCTCTAGAAATATATCTATGTATAACACATACAAGAGCCAGACGCGGGAGCTCATGCCTGTAATCCCAGCACTCTGGGAGGTTAAGGCGAGAGGGCTGCATGAGCCCAGGGGTTTGAGCCCAGCCTGAGCAACCTGGCGAGACCGTAGCTCTACAATAAATCAAGAAAAATTAGCTGGGAGTGGTGGTGCACACCTGTAGTTCCAGCTACTTGGAAGGCTGAGGCAGAAGGATCACCTGAGCCCAGCAGGTAGCGGCTGCAATAGCCTTGAGAGTGCCACTGCACTCCAGCCTGGGCGGCAGAGTGAAACTTCAACTCAAAAACAAAAATGATCTGTTTATATGCACGAGTTTATGTAAATACCTAAAAACATTAACAAGGCACCTTTCCTTGTTCTCATCAACTGTATAATTGATGCCTTTGCAAAGAAAGGCAAGGAAGGCAGGCACTTTCACATTACCTGCAGTTTGTAAAAAAACAAGAAAAATTTCTTAGCAGTAACAACAAATTCATATAGTACTTGTTTTAATAAAAATAAAGAGTGGTGAGGAAGATTCACTCACCCCATGAAGCATCTACTTAGCAGGAGGAATCACATCATGAGCTCACTGATCCTTGCTAGACAGTCTTGTTAGAAATAGAAAGCACCTTAAGCCCCTTAACAAGAAAAGGCTGGCTAAGCCGAGGGAATTATGATTATCTTAAGAGGGATGAAAAACCTCAGCACAGATGATCTTCTTTCACTTGCTATGAGTCAACAGGACTGCCATTCATCTACAATTAAGAGGCTGACACAAACCAAGGAGCTAGAAAAAGCAAACAAAGCCAGTGCAGTTTGTGGCCTTCACTGTAAAAGACAATGACACCTAATCTTGAACAGAAAGCCTCTTTCTCAAAGAAACCTACGAAAGTTTCTCAGCTCACCAATCATTACTCTGTATTCCCAAAGTCTTCCTGGTCATGTAGTTTCAAAAAGATTTTTAAGATAGCCATTTTGAAATACTGAGAGCTATACCCATAAAACATGGGAGAAAAGGATGATATTTTTCCAAATTCTACAATTTATGTTTTTGTCTACTTCTCTTTTTTTTAAAATTCGGAGTCTCACTGTTGCCCAATGGCACGCACACGGCCACCACAGCCACAACCTGCTGGGCTCTGGCGATCCTTCCACCTCAGCTTTCCAAATAGATGGAACCAGAGGTGTGTGGCACCACACCCAGCTAATTTTTTTATTCATTGTAGAGACAAAGTCATGCCAAGTTGCCCAGGCTAGTCTCAAACCCTGAGCTCAGGCAATCCTCTCAACTCTGCCTCTCAACATGCTGGAATTACAGGTGTGAACCACCAGGCCCAGCATTTTTTGTCTATATTTATAAAGAATAAAAGAAGCCTGGAATCCTGCGCTTTGGGAGGCTGAGGTGAGTGGATTGCCTGAGCCCATGGGTTCGAGACCCAGCTGGGAAACTTGGTAAGACCTCATCTCCACAATAAATCAAAAAAATTAGCCGGGTGTGGTAGTGCGCGCCTGTAGTTCCAGCTACTTGGAAAGCTGACGTGGAAGAATCGCTGGAGCCCAGCAGGTCGAGGCTGCAGTGGCCGGGAGTGGCCACTGCACTCCAGTCTGACGGGCGACTGAGTGAGACTCTAACTCAAAATAAATAAATAAATAAAAGAAGGGGGTTAAATAAGATGGAAAAAGATGATGATATTGACCATCATAATGAACAGGCAACATTTATTAATTATTCTGTGACAGGTACTATGCTAAGCACTGTATATGTAGTACCTAGTAATCTTCCCAACAATCCTTGTTTTAGAGACGAGGAAACCAATGCACAGTGTGGTTAAGGAACGTGCTCAGCACATTTACTCCCCTAGCCACACAGCTGATGTACCTTATTTGATTCCCATGGTTCTCAGCACCTGAAGTAGGTGATATTACTGCTTTGATAAGAATGTTCTGGCCGGGCTTGGTGGCTCAGCCTGTAATCCCAGCACTTTGGGAGGCTGAAGTGAGGGGACTGCCTGAGCCTATGGGTTTGAGACCAACCCAAGCAATTTGGCGAGACCTCATCTCTATAATAAATAAAAAAATTAGCTGAGCTACTTGGAAGGTTGAGGCGGAAAGATCGCCGGAGCCCAGCAGGTCAATGCTGGGGTGGCCATTGAGTGTGCCACTGCACTTCAGCCTGGGCGACAGAGCGAGACCATACATCAAAAAAATAAAAATAGAAAACTAAAAAAACAAAGTTCTATTGCCAGACATGGTGGCTCACACTTGCAATCCCAGCACTTTGGAAGCCCAACATGGGAGGATTGCTTGAGTCCAGGAAGTCAAGACCAGCCTGAACAACATAGCAAGACCTCATTCTCTACAAAAAAAATTAAAAAGTATGCCAGGTGTGATGGCTCAAACCTGTAATTCTAGCACTTTGGGAGGCCAAGGCTAGAGGATTGCCCAAGTCCAGGGGTTCAAGATAAGCATGGGGCAATTTGGTGAGAGCTCATCTCTACAATATATCAAAAAATTAGCCAGGCATGGTAGAACATGCCTGTAGTTTCAGCTACTTGGAATGCTGAGACAGAAGGATCACCTGAGCCCAGCAGGTTGAGGCTACAGTGGCCATGAGTGTGCCACTGCACTCCAGCCTGGGTGATAGACTGAGACTCCAACTCAAAATAAATAAATAAATAAAAAGAAGTTAGTCAACTGTGGCACACGTGTAGTACCAGCTACTCGGGAGATTGAGGTGGAAGGATCACCTGAGCCTAGGAGGCTGCAGCTGCAGTGAGCCATGACTGTGCCACTATACTCAAGCCTGGGTGACAGGGTGAGACTCTGACTCAAAAAAAAAAAAAAAGTTCTGTTGTATTCTCATCAAGCATGTCCACTACCACAGTCAAGATGTAGAACATTTCCATTTTCTATGTGAGGAAAAATGAGGCTCAGAGAATTTAAATAATTCCTGTTACAGAGCTGCCAGGTGGCAGCCTGCAGATTAGAACCCACTTCGCCTGGCTCCAAAGACTGTGAAGCCTGTGTTTTTCCCGCCAGACCACTTCTCAAAGAAAAGTCAGTAGCTGAATTCACCTGACTTTCAAGTTCCTATTTGGAGAACTTAGACTTCAATGTCTCTTCAGAATATCATCTGGCATAGGAGCCCTCTACCATAGGATATTTTACATTACAATGGGAATATTTTTATACCATGCATCCATTTAACAACACAAATAATGGTAGCAGTGCTCCTCGCTTGGACCAGTTCTTTCAAAATGGGCTGAAGCCGACCAGATACCTGGTAGATGAATTCATCAATGATATCCCACAGCCACTGGTTGGGTAGTTCAAGGGGAGCAGGACCATCAGCATCTGTGCAGAAGATCACAGAAAAGTCAGATTCAAAGCAATGACTGCCCATTTAGTAAGGATGCAGAATGCTCTTGGTAATTTTTCTCTTAAAAGAACTATAAGGTTCACGCCTATAATCCCAGCACTGAGGCAATGTGAGAGGACTGCCTGAGCTCAGGGGTTCAAGACCAGCCTGAACAACATGCTAAGATCTCGTCTCTACAATGTCCCCAAAAAAATTAGCTGGGCATGGCGACATGTACCTGTGGTTCCAGCTATTTGAAAGGCTGAGGTGGAAGAATTGGCTGAGCCCAGCAGGTCGAGGCTGCAGTGGCCATGAGCATGCCATAGCACTTGAGCCTGGGCAAAAGCAAGAATCCAACTCAAAAAAAAAAAGACCAGCCTAGGCAACATAGTGAGACCTCATCTCTACAAAAAAAATGAGTCAAGCACCTGCAGTCCCAGCTACTTGGGAGGCTGAAGTGGAAGGATCAGCCCAGGAGGTTGAGGCTATAGTCCTGACCATATCACTGCACTCCAGCTTGGGTGAGAATGAGACTCTGACTCAAATAAACAGACAAAGATAATTTAAAAAAAAAAAAAAAGGAGTATGAATCACAAGACCTCCCTTCTTCCCACCTGCCCATTAAAATCTTGCTTTTTAAAAAAGATGGGGCTAGACACGGCAGTTCACACCTATAATCTCAGCACTCTGGGAAGCCAAGGTGAGAGGAATGCCTGAGCCCCAATTCAAAACCAGCCTGGGCAACTTGGTGAGAACTCATCTCTACAATACATCAAGATAAATGAGCTGAGCATGGTGGCACATGCCTGTTGTTCTAGCTACTTTGAAGGCTGAGGCGGAAGGATCACCTGAGCCCAGCAGGTCGAGACTGCAGTGGCTGTGAGTATGCTACTGCACTCCAGCTTGAGCGACAGAGCGAGACTCTGAATCAAAAATAAGTAAATAAATAAAAAACTTTTTAATGGAGGCCAATGCTAGTCCTCATAACCACACCCCCTTAGACAAATCTCAGACTCACTAAGAATGTAGTTAAAGAGATTGCAGTAGTTGTAATAGGATTCAAACCTCTGCTCCAAGGAGGGTCCCCCCTGTAAAAAGAACAGAAATATCAGGACACAGACACTTAACTATACTTTACCCATGGCCTACTATGACAGCCGAGAACAAATACTCGAGAACTGACATCTGTCCTCTCCTCCTTAGCATGCAAAGAGCACGCAAGTGAGACAGAAGTTAGCAAGTCCTACAGCAGTTCAAAGGTGCACTAAATATTCTAACACATGGTCAGATTTTACAGCAATGGTCCTTAAATGATCCCAAGAGCAGGCACGCAGATCTGACGAAGTAGAAAAAGGGGAAGGATATTCAGAAAACACCACATTATCAATGGTGACGAGGTAAAATTGTGGCACTTGAAGACTACAGTTAGAGACAATGCTGCATGGGCTATACTGGACTAAACAAAGTGGTCTTCTAGAGCCAAACAAGAATCTAGGCCAGGGGGTCAGCAAATCTACTCCACCACATCTTTTGAAAGTAAAAATTCTGACTGAAACTTAGCAATGCCCACTCATTACATATTGTTAATGGTTGCTACAGAGGCACAGGTAAACAGAATAGACAGATTAAAATGGTTCCCCAAACCCAAAATACTTACATTTTGGCCCTTCACAGAGAAGGTTGCTGATCCCTGACCTGGTCTTTATGTTGCTGGCAACTAAGAACCACTGATGTTTCTAAGCCAGGGAGCAATACAATGTATTTGTGACAGAGAAAAAACACAACCCTGGAGTCCTAACCCCACCACTTACTAACTGTGGGGTTCTAACAAAGTATTTAATCTCTATCTAACACGTTAACAAAAGACTGTGACTGGCTGGGTTTGGTGGTTCAGTCTGTAATCCCAGCACTTTGGGAGGCTGAGGCTGAGGATTGCCTGAGTCCACGGGTTGGAGACCAGCTTGGATAACTTGGAGAGACCTCATCTCTACAAAAAATAAAAAATTAGCTGGGCATGGCAGTGCATGCCTGTAGTTCCAGATACCTGGAAGGCTGAGGCAGAAGGATTGCCGGAACCCAGCAGGTCGATGCTGGAGTGGTCATGAGCGTGCCATATAGTGACAGTGTTGTGTCTATTTCATAGAGGAGGCTTGGTGGCAATGCAATAAAGGGAAAAAGAAAGGGGACCCCCAAGCAGAAGCAGCAAGCTACTTAGGAGGCTGAGATAGAAGGATTACTAGACCCAGCAGGTCGAGGCTGTGAGCATGGCTGGGCGATAGAGTAACACTCTGACTCAAAAAATAAATAAGTAAACAAATAAAACAAGTAAATAAATAAATACTCACACTGACTTTGGCATATATGTGCCTGTAATATAATTCTTTGTATAAAATCAGGAAAACAGCATCTGAAAAAGATGGCAGAGGGGTGCTTCAGTGTCCACAAAACAATCAAGGTTTTCTGGCAGTTTTAGCCCTTTGGCTAGGAGGAATAAGGATGACTTTGTCATCCTCATCTTAATCTCATTCAGACCTCTCTCTCTTCACCATTTAGAGACTTCTGCCATCCAACTGTGACCAGCACACAATAGTAATAAATCCACAGTGGGTAATATGATACCAAAACTGTAAATACAGCCGGTCTCTGTGGCTCGGCCTGTAATCCCGCGCCTTTGGGAGGCTGAGGTGAGTGGATTGCCTGAGCCCGCGGGTTCGAGACCCGCCTGGGCAGCGAGACCTCATCTCTACAATAAATCAAAAAATTAGCCGGGCGTGGTGGCACGTGCCTGTAGTTCCAGCTACTTGGAAGGCTGAGGCGGAAGGATTGCCGGAGCTCAGCAGGTCGAGGCTGCAGTGGCCGGGAGCGGCCATTGCACTCCAGTCTGGGTGACAGAGTGAGACTCCAACTGAAAACAAAACAAAACAAAACAAAACAAAAAAACAGCCGGGTTCCGTGGCTCAGACTGTAATCCCCCGCCTTTGGGAGGCTGAGGTGAGTAGATTGCCTGAGCCCGCGGGTTCGAGACCAGCCTGGGCAGCAAGACCTCATCTCTACAATAAATTAAAAAATCAGCCGGGTGTGGTAGCACATGCCTGTAATTCTGGCTACTCGGAAGGCTGAGGCGGAAGGATCGCCGGAGCACAGCAGGTCGAGGCTGCGGTGGCTGGGAGCAGCCACTGCATTCCAGTCTGGGCGACAGAGTGAAACTCCAACTCAAAAAATAAAAAAATAAAATAAGCCAGGCTTGGTGGCTCAGCCTGTAATCCTGCGCCTTTGGGAGGCTGAGGTGAGTGGATTGCCTGAGCCCGCGGGTTCGAGACGCGCCTGGGCAGCGAGACCTCATCTCTATAATAAATCAAAAAATCAGCCGGGCGTGGTAGCGCATGCCTGTAATTCCGGCTACTTGGAAGGCTGAGGCGGAAGGATCGCCGGAGCCCAGCAGGTTGCGGCTGCGGTGGCCAGGAGCGGCCACTGCACTCCAGTCTGGGCGACAGAGTGAGACTCCAACTCAAATAAAAAAAATAAATAAAAGTTTTTAAAAAACCAAAAAAACAAGAAAACAAAAATTAGCCGGGCGTGGTAGCGCATGCTTGAAGTTCTGTCTACTCGGAAGGCTGAAGGAGAAGGATCACCTGAGCCTAGCAAGTAGAGGCTGCGGTGGCCATGAGTGTGCCACTGAACTTCAGCCTAGGTGACAAAGTAAGACCCTAAGTCAAAAAACAAAAAAAGAAACACAAGACTTGTACAATGAAAACTACACAACATCCTTGAAAGAAATTGAAGACCTAAATACATGAAAGAGGGCCAGGCTCAGTGGCTCAGCCTGTAATCCCAGCACTTTGGGAGGTCAAGGTAAGTGGATTGCCTGAGCCCGTGCGTTTGAGACCAGCCCGGGCAACTTGGTGAGACCTCATCTCTACAATAAATCAAAAAAAATTAGCTGGGCATGGTAGCGAGTGCCTGTAGTTCCAGCTACTTGTAAGGTTGAGAGGGAAGGATCGCTGGAGCCCAGCAGATCGACGCTGGGGTGGTCGTGAATGTGCCACTGCACTCCAGCCTAAGCAACAGAGTGAGTCTCCAACTTAAAAAAATAAAAAATAAAAAAATGAAAGACATATACCCCATGTCCAAGGATTGGAGTGCTTAATACTGTTTTTTTTTTGAGTTGGAGTCTCGCTCCATCGCCCAGACTGGAGTGCAATGGCATGCTCATGACTACCGCAGTGTCAACCTGCTGGGCTCCAGCGATCCTTCCACCTCAGCCTTCCAAGTAGCTGGAACTACAGGAGCACGATATCACGCTCAGCCAATTTTTTTATTGTAGAGACGAGGTCTCGCCAAGTTGCCCAGGGTGGTCTCGAACTCCTAGACTCAGGCAATTCTCTGGTCTCAGCCTCCCAAAGTGCTGGGATTATAGGCTTCAGTCACGCGCCCCCTCCTCAATATTGTTAAGGTTGCAATACTCCCCAAAGTGATCTTCAGGTTCAATGTAGTTCCTATCAAAATCCCAGTTGGCTACTTTGCAGAAACAGATAGCCAACCCTAAAATTCATGAAGAAATGCAAGGGACCCAGAATAGCTAAAAAAATCTTGGAAAAAGAACAAAGTTGAAGTACTTATATGTCCCAGTTTCAAACTTACTACAAAGATACGGTAATCAAAACAATGTGGCATGAGTATAAGAAAATATATAGCAACCGGGCTTGGTGGCTCAGCCTGTAACCCCGCGCCTTGGGAAGGTGAGGTGAGTGGATTGCCTGAGCCCGCGGG